ACGTCCTCTACTTTGTTATTGCAAGTTTTATGCTACGGGCTTCTAGCAAGAATCATTCTTACCTACGACACAAAAACCACAATGGTGATTTATCAAGTTTCCTGTTTTAACCTTCAACAAGGACCGACTGCAATCAAATTCGATTCAACTAAAGTAGGAGAAACAGACACCCGCCAGCCACCTTTATGTAAAACTAGTTGCATGTCTGTCGGTGGAACCGGTCTCATGAATGTGGTCATGTAAGGTTGGTCTGGGCCCCTTCATCCAACAATACCGCGAAATCAAAATAAGACATTTGTGGTAAGCAGTATGACGATCACCGCCCACAACTCTTTGTGTTCTACTCGTGCATATCATCTACGCATAGACCTGGCTCGGATGCCACTGTTGGAGAAGGTAGCATGCAATTTCAAAAAGATCCTACACTCACGCAAGATCTAACTAGGAGATGCATAACAATGAGAGGGGGAGAGTGTGTCTATGTACCCTCGTAGACCGAAATCGGAAGCATTTGACAACGCGGTTGATGTAGTCGAACTTCTTCTAGCTCCGACCGATCAAGTACCGAACGTACGACACCTCCGAGTTCTGCACATGTTCAGCTTGATGACGTCCCTCGTCCTCTTGATCCAGCAAGATGTCGAGGAAGTAGATGAGTTCCATCAACACGAGGGCGTGGTGAAGGTGATGGTGAAGTAATCCGCGCAGGGCTTCGCCTAAGCACTACAAAGATATGACCGTGGGAGTAAACGGTGGAGGGGGCGCCGCACACGGCTATGCAATAGTCTAAGATGTGCTAGAGGCGCCCCCACATATATATAGGTGGGGGAGAGGGGAGGCATCCAAGGAGGCGCCCAAGTAGGTCGAATCCTACTTGGGGCCTTCCTATGGCCGGCGCCCCCCCCCCCTTCCTTATTTACTGGAGGAGGAAGGAAAGAGGAGGGAGGAGGGAAGGAAGGGGGAGGCCAAATCCCCCCTTTCCTTCTCCCTTCCCCTCTTTCCTTCTCCTCTGGTGTGGCCCATATGGGGGGCACAGCAACCCCTGGTTGCTGCTATGTTTCCCCTCTTGGCACATAAGGCCCACATCTTTTGTCGGGAGTGCCCGGAACCCCTTCTAGTGACCCGATATGTACCCGGTACCCTCCGGAATACTCCCGGTGTCCGAATACCATCGTCCTATATATCAATATTTGCCTCTCGACCATTTCGAGACTCCTCATCATGTTCGTGATATCATCTGGGACTCCGAACAACATTCGGTCACCAAATCACATAACTCATATAATACAATATCGTCATCGAACGTTAAGCGTGCAGACCCTACAGGTTCGAGAACTATGTAGACATGACCGGGACACCTCTCCGGTCAATAACCAATAGCGGAACATGTATGCTCATATTGGCTCCCACATATTCTATGAAGATCTTTATCGGTTGAACCGTTATGACAACATATGTTATTCCCTTTGTCATCGGTATGTTACTTGCCCGAGATTCGATCGTCGGTATCTTCATACCTAGTTCAATCTCATACTGACAAGTCTCTTTACTCGTTTCGTAATGCATCATCCTGCAACTAACTCATTAGTCACTTTGCTTGCAAGGCTTCTTATGATGTGCATTACCGAGAGGGCCCAGAGATACCTCTCCGATACTCGGAGAGACAAATCCTAATCTCGATCTATGCCAACCCAACAAACATCTTTGGAGATACCTGTAGAGCATCTTTATAATCACCCAGTTATGTTGTGACGTTTGATAGCACACGAGGCATTCCTCCGGTATCCGGGAGTTGCATAATCTTATAGTCGAAGGAATATGTATTTGACAGTGAAGAAAACAATAGCAATAAAACTAAAATCATAATGCTAAGCTAACGAATGAGTCTTGTCCATCACATCATTCTCCTAATGATGTGATCCCATTTATCAAATGACAACAAATGTCTATGGTTAGGAAACTTAAACATCTTTGATCAACGCGCTAATCTAGTAGAGGCTTACTAGGACACGGTATTTTGTCTATGTATCCACACATGTATCAAGTTTCCGGTTAATACAATTTTAGCATGAATAATAAAAATTTATCATGAAATAAGGAAAAATTAAATAACAACTTTATTATTGCCTCTAGGGCATATTTCCTTCATATAGAACCTTCCCTAAACCATTTTTCTTTTTCTTTTTTCTTTCCCTTTTTTTGTTTTATGTTATTTTATCTTTTTATTCCTTTATTACTTTCCTTTTTATTTTTCACGATCATCTTTCAAATTTGTGAACATATTTTCTCAAACCGTCAACAATTTTTTAAAATTATGAACATTTTCCAAATTCACGAACATTTTCACGAATTCGCAAACATTTTTTGAATTGATGAACACATTTTACAAATTCACAAACATTTTTTCATAATTCGCAAGAATTATTTTCAAACAAGTCAACATTTTTTTGAATTGGTAACATTTTTTGAAAATTGGGAAAACATTTATTTATTTCAATGAACATTTATGATGTACACGGACATTTCTTGAATCAGTGAACATTTTTTAATCAAAGAAACTTTTTGTAATCCATGAATATTTTTTTAATTTGTGAATATTTTTAAGAAATAACAATTTTTTGCAAACAATTGTTCAATTTCACAACATTTTCCGAATAGATGATTTTTTTGTAAAATCAAGGACACTTTTTGAATGAGTTAACATTTATCAAAATCCTGAACATTATTTGAATATGAGAACATTTTCTGTAAAATCATGCATATTTTTAAAAAACTATTTTAAATCCAAATTATTTAAAATATTAAAAACAAAAACAAAAATTAAAACAAACAATGTAATTTAAAAACAGATCGCCCCATAGATGGGCCGGCTCAGAGCCAATTCTCCCATCAATCCTTCACCTAGCTTCTCCCAGAATCTGGAACCACAAGATTCTAGGAGAAGCTGGATGGAGGGTCGATTCTCAAGATTCTGGAAGAATCGGCCCAAAACTGGGACTCAAAAGGGCATGCCGGGGGAGTTCGAGGTCCGTGTCGCGTCTCCTCCCAACGCGGAGCGCGTGGAGAGCAACTAATTGAGAAGCACTAGTTCGGAAACCTCCCAAGGGTTACTTGGGGTGGGCTGAGAGCGCGCGACACGCTCTCAGGAACCGCCATTTGTTGTGCTTTTGGCGCTCCCTTCGAATTTTGTTTTTTAAGTTTCGCACACATTTTCGCTTTTTAGAAGTTTTTTTTGGTTTTTTTGGCTTTTAGCTTTTCCACGATCTTTCTTTGCTTTTTGACAAAAAAAGTTGTTGAAAAAATTATTGCGTGAAAAAACAAGCTTCTTTTTTCATTCTGCGAGAGGCACAATTATGCCTCTTGGAAACAAAAGAACGCGTTTTCCTTTTTTTTTCCTTTTAGTACAAGGGACGGATTTGCTTCCGCCTCTCGAACACGAAAAAATGTGTTTTTTTTTCTTTCACGAAAGGCATGGTTTTGCTTCTGCGAGAGGCACGGACGTGCCTATCGAAAACGAAAAAACTCCTTTTCCCATTTTTCCTTCCATATGAGGCACGGATTTGCTTCCGCGAGAGGCACGGCTGTGCCTTTCGGAAACGGCTTTTGTAATGGAAAAAAATTTGCTCCCGATGTGGTTTTTTCGTACTTTTTTATGAAAAGTTCGTCGAAACCTATCACCATGAGATCTAGTTTTGAAGATCTCGATGCGAGGAATACAACGATGAAAACAGTTCGATATTTGGATGCACGGTTTAAGAGATAAAACATTTTGAATAAACGGGTCTACGAAAAAAAGAAAAAACTCCTGGGCACGCACATGCAGCGCGCCACTTGTCGCAACATGGTGAAAGTGATCTTTGAAAGGAGCACTCCTTAATTAAATTATAGTAGTGATTTCGGAGCGCGCCCTATATGATTTTTTTAGATCTTTTTTGGAGCGCGCAGCATGAGTTGGTTATGATAGGAAAAGCCCATGGGCTGGAAGAGGTCGACTAGGCCCATCTGTTCATCAAGTTAACCCGTGCCGCACCTCGGAGCTATGAGATGAGGGCCCATTGCTTTGATTCTGGTCAAAATCCTGTCGCTGGTCTTCTACCTTTCGACAACGGGAGTCCAGATCGTGAATTCGTTGCTCTTGCCCGGCCGCAGCAGCCGCCTCTGCGTCCGTCACCGCGGCGCCGATGCGGCCGTGACCCCCGCCGGGCCTGGGGGAAGCGCGGCAGCGACGGCGTCGCTCGCTTCGACCGGCGGCACGCTGAGGCAAGTCTCACCTCCCCACCCTTCCATCTCTCCTCCCCGTTGAAACTGGGAGACCTACTCTGCGTGGGCGCGTGGCCGTGCTTCTCGTGAAGACGCACGGTAGGTGTTCGACCAAATGCGTGGCATGAGACGCCGACTAGTTTATCCTCGCTTCGCTGTCTGCACCGTCCATTCGCACGAATCAAAGTACTGTACCACCCGCCTCCGAATTATTCTAGTACTATCACGTCGGCAACTGTCCGCTTGATCTCACACGTGTGCAAATGCCCAAGCACGTACACGTACTGCCTGCAATTATGCCATCGGCATCAATCAGTGGCTAAGCTTTGAATAAACTTTCTTTTCGTGTGTGCGTGGAGAACATCGAATAAACTTTCAGAAAGCAAGCAGACAGCAGAGGTCAGTTTCAGAATCAGCAGTACGTGATAGCTCGCCTTTGATAAGGCAAATCTTATACTAGCTTTTGTGTGATCGCAGTTCTTCCTCAGCCCGGCCAGTTTCTCCAATTTGATAGCGTGCTCCTGGTTCTTGATCCTTCGGCTGCTTCCTCCCCATCTCTCTCAGCCCAGCTGTGGCTACCATGGGTACCAAGGCCATGTCAGATTTCTTTGCTTGCCCTCTGCTCCTGTTGCCATTTCCCCTGTGTAATTTTAGCTTCGAACGCATATTACCTGATCCCTCGTCCAGAAATAATAAATTCAGTTCAACTTCCAAAATTTGTTCTTTGCTTAGGTCGCTGTATGCACGATGTCCTCTTCTTCCTTCTTTCGACTTCCAGAAACTGTTCTTTGCATAGGTCGTTATATATGTCCAATGTCCTCTTCTTTTTCTTTGAACATCCAAAAATAGCACTGTGCATAGGTTGTTGCATCTACGATGTCCTCTTCGTCCTTTCTTGAAAAATATTAATCTCGTGGTTCTTGGTGCAGGGAGGCATTTGTGGTCAATGAGACACCCGTATTCATGAATAAGCCTCCTCCACATGTATTTAAACTGGTGAATTTCATTCTTCCTCTTGCAACTTGTTGTTAGCTTCATTTCCCTCTTATATATAGTGATTGGTTTGAGGAGAGACTAAAATCTGGCGACTGAATACTTGCTGCGAATAGTGGTGGGTAGCTATAATAATAGTGCAGAAACGCAGCAGTGAGTAGTTTATGTTCTTGTATCATTGTTGTTGTGAGCGAAAGGAAGATTACGCATAACAGTACCTTAGCTTCTTTGCAGTAGTTTTCTTTGGTTTCTATATATAGTGCAACTAAATCGCTTGACTAAGAAGACTTCTCTGAGTTGTTTCCTTTCCTTTATTTTGTACGATCTGATCTGAAAGCTTAACTTCTGATTTAGTCCTATATTTTTGTGATATTACCTGACGTGAGTCGTGTCTTTGCCATATTTCTGATGATCTTTGACCGTTGATTTGCTCCTATACTTTCTATGATCTTGGCTGAAGTTCAGTTCACTTAGTCCTACCAAAAATTCTAATCATGTCAAGCTTCAATCTTCATTATAATACTTCTTGCTTGTTGCAACAACCCTATTTTAGATTGATCCAACCCTACGTTATTTACTCAAATATTTCAGGCATCATGCCAGTGTTTGTTTGGCGAATGAGAGTTAGAGAATAAATAGTAAATTTAGGATGCAAAGCAATATGCATGATGTCATTGAGATGACCATCTCATTATTGGAGTGTATTAAGGGTTTGGTTCCAATACCACTTAAAGTAAATGACCACTTGTCTTTTTGTAAACATACATATTCGTACTAATGCATTCTGGGGGGAAAATTGGCTAAAAAGTTTTATTTCTCTGTGCAGATGTCTCTACCATCAATGATTATAAAGCTCACTTTGGGTTTGCTCTGGTGCATCATCCACTTAGCAATCAGCCTTTTAAGCTTATGTTCTCATCTGATTTTCAATCTAGAGTGTTCTCTTATTTCGTCTGGGTTGTTGTGGAAGTATCGGAATCTCCAACTGGGGAGACTCAAATACCTCGCTATCGTGGTAGATAGCAGAGAAGCTAAGAATACCGTGAAGATCAATCAGCTGTTATATTGGCTCAAAACTCTTGGTGTGAAGTATGTATGTCTGTACGACATTGACGGTAAGACACTGAGTTCACTATTCTAATTTGTAGGTACTATTGCTTTCAGTCTGAAATTTATCTTGCAAAAATGGACATGGTTAGTAAAAGTCAAGAGACATTAAGCAGCAATACAGGGGCTGTATTCATATTTGTAGGGCAGGGACAGAACCGAACAATACAGACTAATAGCCATACTGCCTCATACAGTTCAGCTTCTAATATTTATTTTATTTATGCACAAACACTTAACAGTGTACAAGATCTGTACTTTAATATTCTATACACTGCAACACAGGAGTGCTGAAGAAATTGTTTGAACCTGGTATGAATGGCTCAAGAGATAACAATCCCGGAGATTATTTGGTAAGTTACAGACTTGAGCTTGCTTTGTTTTCTATCAAAAGCCTCGCGGTGTTTCTATTCCCTAGCGTTTATGTTTTTGATAGTTTGTATGAACCATCGGTTATGGCCATATGTAGGATGTCAGTGCAAATATCAAAGCCTTAGACTGTTGTCAGAAACAGATGACGATAGAGTGTATTTCTGGTTCTGATGGCAAAGAGGGCATTGCTAAAGCAGCCAACTTACTTTGCTCCAGTTATTTAAACGGTGATAGCTATACTCAAGAGAATGTCAAAAGTGAAGAGAATGTAAAAAATGAGCCAGTATTTACAGAAACTGACATGGCCAGTGCACTGAAATCCATAGGTACGCTTAAACAAGTCCCTTTTTTCATGCATGATATATTTTATATACTAATGGATAATGTTCTAGTTGTTTTATAATTTATTTCATTGCAACTCCAGTTGAGTACTTAAGTGCCTGCCTTGTACGTTAGGTTGTGCTGGACCAGAACCTGATCTTCTACTTGTGTATGGTCCTGCCAGATGCCATTTAGGCTTTCCTACATGGAGATTGCGATATACTGAGATTATGTAAGTTTCCTCATCTGGTAGTATTCCTAGTTCTAGGTGTCACGTTGGACCTGTCATACTGAACTTAGATCACATGCTATCATTCTTTGATACACAAATAACTCTTGTCCATACCTATTTATATTAACATATGGTAGAAAAATACTGTTGATTGGAGTTTTATTCTACTCAAATTTTCGCTTTGGAAGAAAATTATTTCTCATAGTTTCCTCTAAATGCATTCAGTCCATTTATTGCCTAACTTTCCTTCATTAACATTGTAAATCTGTTTTGCGCAATTAATGCAAAGCTGAACTTAGCATACCATCCCTATAAAGTACTAAGCAAATGTTACCATATTATACTAGAGTTTCAGAATTTGTTATATGCTTTTATAAACTCATACATGTTCTTGCTGGCTAATTAGAGCGCATCCAATGTAATTTTTGTTAGATATATGAGAATTTTAACGTCCAATTTGTCGCCCGTCTTTGACCCTCCTGCATCCAAGTCATCAGTCGCTTCCCACGTTAGTGTTTATGTGCAGTTTTTTCATTCCGTGGCAACGCACGGGCATTTAGCTAGTTGATATAATGGTCATGCTTAGTTGGCTGCCCCTGAAAGTATAGGTGATATTATTTTAGATTCTGAATACCACTTTAGATTCTGAATGTTACAAGTAGAGAAGAGAAAACCATGCTTCAGTCATGTTATAAGATCATTCCAACTGGAGTGTGAGTAAATAAATTAATATTACTATTTATTTCCACCATTGAAAACTCTCCATTATTTCCTTTGCAGGCATATGGGACCTCTGAAATCAATGAAATACGGCGCCATTGTGAAAGCCTTCCATAACTACTCAAAGAAACACCAAAACTATGGTACGTTTTGATTTTGACCAGGAACTGTGCCATGTAGAATATTGTTTTTACCTTTAGCAGCTACCTAGGTCTTATACAGATGAACATTTTAGCTTGTGACAGTTTCCTGATCCTATGGGAAAAAGATGTTTGCAAAAGAATTCATGCTGTAATATTTAGAATGTCCTCTGTTTCATCGCTATAGGAACTGCACTAAATTTTTAGGACATAGCAGCCTTTTATATTATGTCTGGTTTGTAATTTTCTTACAGAATAAGCTACCCCTACGATGTTTCATTTTCAACAGTACTGATACTTTGCTTTTTATTCACCCGGGAAAAAAACCCCATATTCATCAATGATAGCCCTGAATGCACTAACGCGTCTTGATGCTTGTTAAAAACAAAACAGTTTTTACTCATTTCGCCATCTAACGTTTTGCGTCTCAGGTAAATGAGAGCTTCTGATACTTATATACTGAAGACCAGACTGTTGTGTAGAAAAGCACTCCTGGGACTGGAAGCTTGACAACTGTTTTGCCTTACTGTTCGTGATTATACTAGTAGAGGTTAGTTAAGATCAAGTCGATACCCATGTTGTAATATCTTTTGGCAAGATTAGAAGTGTTATTGATAGAACATACGGGAATGGACCCCATTGTAAAGCTTGCCTGGTCATGGAAGATTAATGAACCTGCTCTTGAGCCGTTGAGCGAGCACACATGGATTGATATCAGCAATGTTATGCACCCAAATCATGCCGATCTTTTTGGTTGTGAATGTAGCAGCCAGCAGCTGCTGACATGTGTTTTCCTTTTGAATTTTAACTTAATATGCAACTGAGTGCACTTTGATTTTGGTATTCTTTCTCCAGTGTCGCTGGTATGGTATGTACCTGATGGGATCAGTCATTTCCTTGTGGTTTCTGGACTCGTTTATACTCTGTTTCATATGTTCTTTTGTGTATCTACATGTCAGTTCGAGTTTTGCTACTCCATGTGCCTGATATACATGTTCTTTTGTGTCTTCAAAGGTTCTCTCTGCGCTGTGTGGCATCACTGTTCTGTTCCGTGTTTCATTTCTCCAGTAATTTTGCCTCTTCTCCGTTCGCTTCGATGCCGAACCCCTGACCTCCCCGTCTTTGAAATTGGTTGGGATGTACTGCACATAGTTTCAGACGAAAATGAGAGTTTAATGTTTAATTTCGACAAGCTCTACAAGTTTAAGGTTTAAATCAGACTTCACTATCGAGTGTGATTGTCTTCGGAGCAAGAAAACCGAGCATGGAAGCTAGTAGAAGTTATAAATAGACCAGGAGTGCAAATTATGTCTATATGAAAGACAGTAAGAAATAAAATGCTAGGAAAATAAACTAAGGAGAGGATGAAAACACAAACGAGCTCTCAGTAGGTCGGGTGCGTGACAGTGGGACGGGGTCTCCCCTTGGCGTGAGAGCGAACTGCCCGAACCCAGAGCACGCACGCCCGAGCGTCCCCGCTCTCCTCTCCGCACGCGCGCCGCCGCCGCCATGTCGCTGCCGACGCAGTGCCCCTACTGCCGCTCTCCCGCGCCGGCGCGGTGCGCCACCACGCAGCCGCCGCTCTCCCGCTCCGTCTCCGAGTGCTCATCCTGCGCCCGCCTCGTCCTCGAGCGCCACCTCCACACCCACCCCTTCTTCCCCCTCCTCCCCTCCCTCCACCCGCTCCCCCTCGTCACGCCCGACCTCGCCGCCGCCGCCCCCGCGCCCTCCTCCCCGCCCGCCAACGACGACGACGACCC